CATCGTATCGGGAAATCAGATGGCATGAGCACGCTCACTTTGTCCTACAAGATTTTAGCGTTTCCATATTTTAAAGAATAAACTCATTTTCTAGAAAAATCACATTGGGGAGATTGTGCTGAGTAGAACAGTTTGGGCAGGGCAGAATCCCGACCTTTAAGTTTTCAGCTGAGGCCTTAGCTGTAAAACTTATTCCTGAGAATTCTATTATTTTAATGCTGCTGAAGGTGGACTTTAAAAATGATTTCCTCATGAAAGCCCTTTGTACAACAAGTGCATGCTAATAAAAATGCAGAAAGTTTCCTAATTGCTGCAGTGCACAGAGGTTCAAAGTGACCTGCATTGCCCTTTGCTCAGTTTGCTCAGTAGTTACTTGTAGTCCCGGCCTGTGTCTATATAAGCAGTCATTCATCTATGAATAAAGATGGCTGCACCGTTTCCTTTCTATTTTTGCCATCCTTTGTTGCAATTCCTGGGACTTCCATTCAAAGAGAAGGGGTAAGAGCAGCCACCTTGCTGGATTCTAGTCTCAAGGGGAAAGCGTTCCCGGCTCAATGTCAAGTACGGTGTTAGCTGTCGTCTCCTCACATGTCTTTCTTTATCAGATTGAGCAATTACTCAGTATTCTTTTAGGAAAAGCTGAATAGCGTTACATTAAATGATGTGCCTGAATGCCCTGTATGCTACAGGGAAGCAGGTGACAGAGAAAGAGAAAGTAATGGGGGCAAATCTGGTTAAAGCATGGCAGAAATGCCAAGGTGAAGCCCCCTGGCGCTATCAATATACACTTTTTTAAAATGAAGGACAGAAAGGAAAAACAGGTCCCTTCTGGGTGGGAACCAGTGGGAGGGGGTGGGCACAAGGAAAGGGGAATGAGGGTGAAGAGGGTGGGTGTGTTTTGTGTCCATATGTGAAAATAGAAGTGTGACACTGTTGAAATTGTTCTAAGAAGCGGGGAGAGGGAAGGAAGCGGAGGGAGAACATCATCGGTGAATCTCTGTACCATGAGGGATACATGCTAATAAAATTTCTAAAATGATGTGATCAACTTAATGACAGCCTCCAATGGCAGCCATTTGGATTGTTTGGATTGTGTCTGATGAGAGCTGGACCCTTGGGCCCAGCTGCCTCCTTGGGGCCCCGCCATCCCCACCCTGCCTGTGCCCCGTGCTGAGAGAGGCCAGCCTCTTCCATCACGTATGTGCGCTTTTTCTCCAAATCACCCATGTTCTGACCCCATTTCTGCGCTGAGATTCTGCTTTGACAAAAGCTGACTTGCAAGACAGCTGTAAATGATGAAGCTTTCCCCTTTTCATAGATGAGAGGAATTTGTCTCCTGTGCATTGCAAATGCTTGCCTATTAACTTGCTTCCTGGGGTTTTTCACAGAGATGTTTGTTTTTGACGTAGCTGTATTTATGGGTATTTGGTTGTTTTCTGTCTTGTGGGTTTTCAGTAATACTTGGAAGTCTTCCCTGCTGTCAGGTTATGAAAGGATTCCCACCACTTCTAGTCTACCTGGTTGTCAACACCACACCAGACAAATCCCTATCAATATTTGGGTATAATCCTGTTGATATTTCTATTGAAGTGATGACAAATTTATAGATGGAATTAAGCAGAAATAACATCTTTCTCAGGTAGGGGACACGGGATCTATTTGTTCAAGTTTTCCTTGTACCTCAAGACACGTTCTGGTTTTCCTCCTGTGGCTTTTGCCATTTCTTTTTGCATTGATTTCTAGGCTCTTCGTGTTGTTTGTGTTTTTTTGGCTGCATAAAAGACATATTTTAAAAATAAATGAAGGTACAGATTTCAGTGTGGTGACCTCGTCCAGCACCCTTAAATCAGTGCCTTAATTCTCCGTAAGGGCTTCCCAGTGAATTCCCTTAGCTTCGGGTCGGCAAGCGGACCTCTGCAGAGCAGTAATTTTGCCTGCTTGCCAGTTTTAAAGCTCTAATTTCTTTTTCTTTGCTGTTATGAAAGGATCCATACCACCAATGAATCTGAATTGTTCTAAAACCAAACATTTTCTGAAAAATAAGACCAGATACGCACTTGTGCCATTTTATCTGTTTTCCCCCAAACACAATTCACCATCAGACCTTAATTTTGCCAAGACGGTTTTTTCAACTCTGGTGCTTTTTAGGATCCATCCTAATACTGAGAGTGACACAGGGAAGCATGTATGGTTCAGGTCCCCCACGATGGGTGGCCGACAAGCTGCCCACTGAGTCTGTCATTATTCAGGCAGGGTGGCCTCCTTCAGCACAGCCTGAGGGTTCGTCTGCATTCTGCTTTTCTTCTTCCCACTACTGAAACCACCCAGCCTTGCAGGAAGTAACGTGGACAGCTGCCTGCACACATAGAGAACCTGGGCCTGGAATTCACTGAGCAAACACCGCAGGATCGAGCATGGGAGACCACACCAGAATTTACCGGGGAGACCCCCAACCTTTTCTGATTTTAAAATACAGTATTATGTTGAGCTCCCAAAGGAAGAAGATATGCCTGTCCATTATCTTCTGCACCACTTCCTCACGGCTCTTAGGAGCTCTACCGAGGTGCATAGGCCTCCTGACAGCCGGCCATTGCTCCAGGAAGGTATGGTACACCTCACGTGGCCGACAGAGACGGCCAAACAATCAGTGCAGTCAGAGGGAGGTATTCTGAAAATGCTCTTTGGTTCAGCAGCTTCACTTTTCATGTGCTCTCGCTTTTAAATCTTGGCACCACTCTTCCCTGATAACTATGTCTAATTTCCATCTTAAACAAACACTTGCTTTGTGCAGAAAAAGGAAATGGAGTCTGCCAGACTATTTCTGTCTCCCTCACTTGGTCCAAGAAAGGCCAGTCCATCAACAGTTTTGTCTTCATTTTGGAAAGGCCTCCACATGAGGGTGAAAAGGGCTGGGACTGGCTTGAGAGGTAGAAGAGGCGGTGACCTGAGGACACACTGCTCGGGTAATTTTCCTCTCCCTCCTGGCTCATTCTGAGTCTGAGGAGGCCACTCACGAGCAGTCCCATCTAGCCTTGGCCGTTTGTACTGGATCAGGGAAAGAAATATGGATGCTGCCCGAGTTTGGACGCCAGCTTCCCCCTTGCAGGCTGTGTGACCTTCCCTGCTCTCTGCGTTGGTCCTCTCAGCAGAAAGGCAGGGATGAGAGGAATCCCTCCAGCATAGAGATGCTGTGAGGCCCCAGTGAGTTAAGACACTCACTGGGTGAGTTAAGAAGCTTAGAAAAGTACCCGGCAGTAGCCAAAGCTCAGGGTTCACCCTGATAATCTCCAGTATCAGGATATAAACTTCGTGTGAAATTGGGGAGTTTGTCCAACTCCGCTTAAATAGCAAACTTAGAAAGTCCATCCGCTCTCAATTGCATCAAAGTATGTCCCTAAAACATCCCTCCTTCCAAGTGTTAAATAATTTGCCTTGAACCTGCTAAAACTGGTTCAGTTATGTTTCAGTGAGACAAGGTTATGATATCTGACAATAACCAGAATTAAAAATATATATATATTACAGAAAAATAGAATGAGTCCTCCCCCTGCAAATCCTTCCTTCCTCCTTCAAGTACCAATAACACAAGCATGCATTTTAGAAAAGAAAGAGGGCCACGGAGATGGCTAATTATTGTCTGCCCCTGTGTAGGTAAAACCCTGTAAGATTAGCATTTCCAAGTTGTACTTTGAACCAGAAAATTATGAAATTCATTTTTCTTTGTGCATGCTGGCAAGTGCTGTGACTATGTGACTGTGCTACAGCCCCAGCCTTTGTTTTCTGAGGGTCTCTGCGAACCTCACACTGCCCTCAAACTTTCCATTCTCTCGCCTTTTCCTCCTGTGTGCTGGAATTGCAGGCATGGGTCCCCATGCCTGGCAGAAATAAGCTATTTTTAAAAGTGACAGTAGAATAGGAACTATTAGATAAATCATAGCTAACAGAAGTCTTATTTTGTGAGAGTTCCCTTGGTTTTATGTACAGAAGTATGAAGGTGTGCGTGTATTGGGTTGTGACATAAATTTATTATATGGTTTACTTTGATTACCATTATTTCCCAGGGATTTTGCATACAATTCTTATTTGATGTAAACATACTTAGTTAGACTTTTTAAACAATCGCAATGCAAAATCCATCCAGGTCCTCCTCCAAGTACCCCTGACTACCCTGATGGTGACAGTGAGTTGTATTGTCCCCTTGGCCTTCTCAAATGTGCCATGGGACCTGTTTCCTGGCTGTCACTGATCCTTCATTCCACCTCTGCTTTACAGATATTCCTAAGGTGTCACAGCATGAATATGCTTGTTCACAGGGCAGTTAGACCCTGCAAGAGGCGAACCCAGGAAGTTCTTGACAAGGGCTGTGCTTTCTGTTTCACTGAGAAGAAAGGTGTGGGCCCCTTACTCAGCTTTGCCCTCCCCTCAGGCCTGTTCCTATGGAGGGACATAGAGCTATAAAAATTGACAACGTAGCTGGGTGCAGCGGCTCATACCTGTAATCCCAGCTACTCAGGAGGCAGAGATCTGGAGGATTGCAGTTCAAAGCCAGCCTGGGCAAACAGTTTGCGAGACCCTATCTCAAAAAACCCCCAAACCAAAAAGGGCTGGTGGAGTGGCTCAAGGTGAAGGCCCTGAATTCAAGCCCCAGTATCACAAACAAACAAACAAACCCCAAAAGCAACGTGTGATTGCAGTGAGTACATAAATGTGGATGATTTGTTTGTAATAATTACCTAGAGAAGAAAGTGCACACCCCTGTCCGGTCACTCGCTTGGTAAGCTCTGTGCTACTCTTTGTTATGTCCCGTACTGATGGCCACTGCTGCAGAGTCCTCCTGATCTGACCACTGTCCACTAGGCACCCTTCTTGCTTGTGGACTGAAGCCCCTGTGGGCTCTCCCGGTGTCTCCTGTGATCTCCACGGTGCCCAGACGAGGAGCAGGCAGCAGCAGGCACACAGCAACTTTTGTTGATGGGCGAGGACAGTACAGATGCTCTTACCTGGGAGGAACTGGCAACCGGGGGCACAGCCTGTCTGCGTCTGGACTCTGGGTGTAGTTGAGGGAATTCAAGCTGTAGACACACAGGAAAGACCCTGGAAGCAGAAGACACACCGACTGCACTCCTGTTCTACTGCCACCACCCTGGGGAGCCAGCGAGGGAACCTCAGCCATTTTACCAGACCAAGAGGAAGACAGACTTAGAAAACAGGCGGCCTAAACTCAAGAACAGCCTTGCAATCTGAGGTTGAGTTAGGACCTCTTTTCCTTCCCTCTCCAAATTTAACACTAAAACTAACAAGATTGGTGCCTGAACTATTTGAAGTTATTTGAAGATGATTTATTACAGGAGCTGGATATTTTTAGCCCAGTTTTGAAAATATTTTTGAAGTCTGGCACTCCATTCCTTAGGCAAGGTTTACAGAGGGTTGGCGTGGATTTCTTTCTCCTTCCTTTGCTTGTTTAATCCTATGACACGATCCAGCAGTGGGCTGGCGTTGTACACACAAACTCTTTGGCCACAACTTATGACGGTCCAACCAGCAAGTCCACTGGCCCCACACCTTCATCAGAGAATCTTCTTGTGGGCAATTTGAGCCTTTGGGTCCTACTGTCTGCTGTTCCCCTCGGCCCCGGGCCCTCTATGGAGGTGAGCAGCCTGGGTTTCAGATAAGTCCAGACAGACCTGGATGAAGCTGAACAAGCTCAGGAGAAAATGCTCACAGTATTTCCACACAAGAAGAGGTCCCTGCAAGGAAGGCAATCTGTAGGTTTCCAGAAATAGCAGTGACAGGTAAGTTACCATCTGGGTCCCCCAGGTGACCCGACCCAGGGCATTGGGAAGGGGGCGTGGACCGGCCCCTTGGTGCCTACCATTGGTGTTGGCGAAGAGCTGGACCTCCTCCAGGGTGTTGAGCTGCTCCTCAGGACAGCTGGACACGCAGAGGGCGGTAGGACCCGGCCTCTTCTTCCTGACATCCAGGTCACAGGAGTTCATGAAGAACACATGTCTGAGGAGATGGATGAACAGAAGTGCGTTTCAGGGCACCGCCTGCCACTGGTTTAATTGTGAGCTTTGAAAACCCTGTGGCCACTACTAAGCGTAACTCAGCATTTGTGACACCAATCGGGGGCCACCTTCAGAGCTGCACAATTTGGGAACCATACTCAAGTGGTAACAAGACTTTCTTTCTCAAGCCAGGAACAGTGGCGGACACCTTTAATCCCAGCTACTCAGAAGGCGGAGTCAGGAAGATCACCAACACATGAGACCCTGTCCCCAAAAAGAACTAGAAGACAAAGGACTTTTAGGGGTGTGGCCCAAGCGGTAGGGTGTTTGCCTAGCAAGTGTGTGGCTCTGAGTTCAAATCCCCAGTACTGAGAAAATATTTTCCTTCTCTAGGCTCAACATTTTGGGTGACACAGTACAGGGAATGACCCAAGAAGTCAGCAAGGAAGGGAAGGACTGGTCACACTGCCTGTGGCTTCCAGATATGGGGGCATGAATGACCCACAGATTCCCTGCAATCCACACTGACACCTGAGGGTGTCCTCTTAGATGTCAGAGACAATTGGGACAGCAGGAGGTGACAAGTGGGAAGGAGGGGACAATGGGCAGCTGCAGAGCCAGGATGTCCAGCTGTGGGTGAGTGCAGACACAGGGACGATGTGGGTTGGTGCCGTTGGTCACATGAGGGCAGAGGCCTCTGTGGCCCATGCTTGGTGCTCAGCAGGCCCCACGGAAAGTCCCAGGAGGTCCTGCAGGCTGTAGCCGGGAAGAACCTCCACAAGGGCCCAGAAGCCACTTGTCCTCCGGGTGCAAGAGGAGGGGACAGATTTCCTGTGTGTGCAGTCAATCTGTAGTTTGTTTAAAAACTTTACAAATTGTGTTAATGCCATCTATCCATAGAACCCTTCATCTGGACACAGAAACTCTGCTCCCCTTTGATGGGACACCCAGTTCTCCCTTCTCACCAACCCTGAGTCTTCAGATAGGTGGAACCACAGGGCACTGGCCTTCCCGTGATGCTGGTGAGCTATGAATAAACACAGACGCGTGGGCAAGTGTTGTGTTTTAGCTTGCACAGTGTCTCAGAGGATCCCCAATGTGACCTGGAGAGATGGGTGTAATCACCAGGTTCAAAAGATGAATACCGGGCTCAGAGAGGCTAAGGCTGTGCCTGAAGTCACCGAGCTGAAAAGCAGTGCAGGCTGGATCTGAACTCAGGACCGGCTGATGCTACAACTGCACCCTCCCCGCCACTCTTGGCCTCCCAGTCTGGAGTTGGACAGCATTTCCCAGGCTCTAACTAAATGGCTGCTTTATCCGGCGTTTTGAAATGAGGTACTCTATGGGTTGGGGACTTATCAGACACTTACTTTTTAGGGTCATGTCCTGCCCAGAAAATGGGGCCCCGTCCACTGGGGAGTTCCTCTTGCCACACACGTTACCGAAGCTGTCGTAGCCAAAGAGCAGCCTGCCCGTGGCTCCAGCCACCACGGAATAGCCCGTGATGAACACCTGGCACAAAACATGGGCGCGTGAGGACCTGGACACAGGCGGGACACGGTCCCCACGTCCCCAGCTCCCCAGCCCCCGGTCACCTGCTTTTGGGTGCTGGCCTCAGCAGGGTGAGGAGGAGAGGGGACATGTCCCAGGCCCTCCTCTCTTCTTACCTTTGTCCTCAAAGTCTGCCATTTTTAGTTTGGGGCCAGACTGCACTGGGACAACTTGATTTTTTCCTGGAGGCTTTTGGTTTATCTAAATGCATCAGGGAAGGCGAAGCTAATTATTTTCTGAGTTTTCCGCCTTCCTTCTTTCCTTTTAATATTTTCTTTTTGTCTTACTTTTGGGGAAGTCTGTGGAGGCCACACAGTTGATGTGTTTTTAAAACAATTCTTCACAATAAATCTGAGCATGGAGTTTTGGAGCACTTGCTTAAAATTCACAAAATAAAAACGCAAGAAAAAGAGAATTCTGGAGTTCTGTAGGACCTGAACATCTTCTATCAATAGCCATTTTTATCCAATTTTATATAAGTGTGAAACACTTATAAATTTCGTTTTAAACACCTGCTCATTGAATGTACAGCAGGCCCTCCACGAAGACCCCTGAGGTTTCTCCCCGTGGCACGAGTTTGCCAATCGGTAATACATAGATGCCACACTAACAAGCTCATTCCAGGACAGACACACCTTTCGATAACATAGTATGGGCCAGGAGCAATGGCTCACTTCTATAATCCCAGTTACCCAGGAGTGGGGATTGGAAGGATCTTGGTTCAAGGCCAGCTGGGGCAAAAATTTCATGACACCCTATCTCATCCAATACAAGCTGGCCAGGTATCTTCAATGGTAGAAAAACTGCCTAGCAAGTTTAAGGCCCTGAGTTCAAACCCCAACACTGCAAAAAATAAAAATAACAAAATGGTAAGGACATATGCTCTGACAGAACACGTTCCAGACATTCCACATTCATGGCTAATTTGCTTGCCGGGTGTATGCCTGAGACTCTGTGACTGGTGTCACACAGATGAGGAAAACCTGGCCCCTGCCCTCGAGGCATCAGTCCAGAAGAAGGAGGACATGTCACTTGCAGAGCTGTGGGGAGGAGGCTCCTTGCCCTCCTATACCCAAGTCCCGCCTTGGTCTAACTGACCAGAGTTTGGAAGTAAGTGGGTCACCTTGGCTAGGAGGCAGAGTCACTTATTCTTTTATTCCTGGCACTGGGTTTGAACTCAGGGCCTTGTGCTTGTTGGGCAAGTGGTCTACCACTTGAGCCATGTCCCCAGTCCCTTTTGCTTTATTTATTTTCAGGTAGAGTTTTGCACCTTTTGTCCAGGGCTAGCCTTGGACCAAGAACCTCCTACCTCTACCTCCCAAGTAGCTGGGATTATAGGTGTGATCCACCACACCCAACTTATTCTTGAGAAAGTTCTCACTAACTTTTTGCCCAGGGCTGATCTCAAACTGTGATCCTTCTAACTTGCCTCCTGAGAATTTTGGAGGACAGGCATGAGCCATTGCACCTGGCCAGGGTCACTCATTCTTCTCTTCATGGCTGTAGGTGATTTTTCTGGCATGGTACAATCACCCAGCCTTGACATGCTGGCCTTCTGTCCTCCAGTGTGGAGTGTGGAGTTCTGATTGTCTTTGGAGTTAGGGGGAGGAGGGGGACCGGATGCCCTTGCCTAGCCCACCAATGCTCTTTTTCATGCTCCATTATCCTGCAGGTGACATCTCTCTTGTAACGCTCATGGAGAGGAATGGAAAGGTTTTGGGGGGAGATTTGGTTTTGCCGAGTCCCCACAACACCAATGGCTTTTAAACTGACATTGCTCTGACCTCAAACATACAACTGCAATTCCACGTGACAGGTGACACGGGGCGGGGTGGGGGTGTTTACTAGTGTGGTGTGGCCACTGAGGAGGTCACTGTAAACTGTGCCTGGGAAACGGACCTTGGAAAGTGAACAAGAAAGGGAGAGGAGTGAGAGGAGCCCGGAGAGGGAAGTAGAGGCAGAAGTGGTCCAGGGTTCTGTGTATTTGTGAAAAGATAAACACAGTCTGCAAGAGACGTCCCTGCTTGAGATTCTGGCAACTTCCTCAGGTCAAGGCTGCAGCACACGGCAGGACCGCTGGTCTAGCATTTGTGTGACAGCAGAACCAGGTCAAACACGTTTGCCGCACCTATGAGGAAGGTGAGCAGAAGGACTCCAGGGCCACACAGGGAAGAACAGATTGGTGTGACTTGCAGACCCCACCTTCTCTGAGCATGTGACCACGGCTGTCTGTCTATGCCAAACCGGTCTGGAAAGTCAGCAGGTGAAAAGCCTGTCCGACTTGGAAAGGAGTGTGATGTTTTAGGATCTAAACTGAATTCCTCTCAGCAACGGTAGCCAGTATCAGGCTTTAGAAGTTAGTCATTTACCCTGCGGCTAGGACAGCTTGTTTCCTGAACGTGGCCTTTGGAAAAGTTGAGTCAGGCTTTTTGCTGGACCTACAACTCTAAAACAAGTGTAAAAAGTGTCAAGATTCAGCTTGCAAAAAACTCCCAGGACTAACGGGGCAGAGCGTGAGGAGGTGTGTCTGCAATCAGGCACACCTGGAAGCCAGGGTGGGGACAAGTGTGACCTATTTAATTACAGGCTCCGGGTAGCCGGTGTGTGCTGGAGTAAAGTGAAAGCAGTGTGTGTCTGGATCGTCCTTGCCAGGGCACCAAGAGGACTTGGTGGCGCTCAGATGGTGAGAATTCAGACTGGAGGGGAGAACCAGCTCCTCATGGAGAAAGTTTGCCAAGAAATCTTGGCCTGCAGCAAGAAGACAGCCGGTCCAGGGAGGGGAGAGGGTAGAAAGTGGGGATCAGGACGCCCCAAACTCGCTGATGGTCACCCTGGGCTAACGGTAGGGGCCTTACTACAGCACAGACTTTGAGCCACCCACACGTTTGTTTTGGGGACACACAGCCTCATCCCCGCCCAGCAGCTTCTTACCAGACCCGTCCAGAACAGAAAGAACAGGAGCAGCCAGGCGGGGTCGGTGCATTTCCTGTGGATTTGGGGTCGCCATTGTCTTTGCCTGGGACTTCTCTCCGCAGAAACCTTCCAGAAAAGCCCGCGTTGAGCAAAAGAGCAGCAGGTGGGCTCAGCCCAGCCCGGCCCCGGAAGGCTGCGGCCAGCACCCAAGTTGTCACCCGAGGCGTTTCCTGCAGCCTTGGGCACACCTGGGGACGTTAGGTCCCCACCTGGAGGTCGAGGTGGCCCCCGTCCCTCGCGGCCCGGGGACCCGGGCTGAGCCGCGCTTACCGGGGACCCGGCGCGCAGGTCCTGCATGGCGCCCGCCTCCTCTGCCGACTGGTGGCCCCGGGCTCGGGCCAGCGCCGCCCAGCGGACACGGTGACCTGACCGGCGACATCGGGCCGCCTTCTTCCTACCCGGCTGTCAGCGCGGCCGTGCACCTGCCGAAGCCAGGCGCCTCGCGGGGGCACCGGGGTCCCCAGGTCTGTCCCCAGCCGGGACGGTGACGGCGACGTGGGGCAGGGCGCATTGGAGTCCCCAAGTCTGTCCCTAGTGGAAAGGAGGTGACATTGGTGTGGGGCAGAGTGAATTGGGGGTCCCCCAGATCTGTCCTAAGCAGCGTGCGGTGATAGTGGTGAGGAGCAGGGTGAATTAAGGGTCCCCAAAATCTGTCCCAAGTGGGGGGGCAGTGACAAGGCAGGGAGCGCTCCCTGTGGGCCAGACTCTGTAAGCATTCTTGAACAATCAGCAACTGGGAAACTATTGTTACTGCTAATCCACAGATGGGGAAACTGAGGCACAACCCGCAGGGCTGCACCTGGCTGGAGGAGATGCAAAAGTAGAACCCAGTGGCCCGAGAGGTGTGATTTCAAGGTGTACCCCGAAGCTGCAGGCTCCCCCAAGCAGCCCATCCTGGGGAACAGCGTACTCTTCTGTGTGCTGAGTGGGAGGGCGTGGGTGACCATTTGCATTCCTGCCCTTACCTCTGTCCCTCACTGCTCACCTGAGTTCAGCTTCAAGGTTGAGCAGGTTAACAACCACTGAAGCAAAGGTTGGGGGGCAGATTTCCAGGTGCTGTCAGATGGGCACAAAAGGGGTACAGAACCAGAAAAACTGCAGACACCTCCCTCCTGTGGCCCCCACCAACTCCTGCCCTTTCCTCCACAGGGCTCTGCTTCCTTTCAGAGCTGCTGCCCCCAAGAGCAGCACCTGATTGCATGGGGGGACAGAGGACAATGGCTAAGATGGCCCTTCTTAGGGGCTTATCCCAGTCTTCCCACTCCAAGCTCAGCAGCCTTCTCCATGCACGGTTGTCAGACAGTGTTTGAAAGTCCAGGAACCAGGTGTTCACAGGATAAAGAACTAGACAGAAGTACAACTACACAAAGACCACAGCTGAATAACCTGGACCATCTGAAACTGAGTTATTGGACCAGATGGTCCTGGGGTTTTAAATACACCCAATAAATACAGTTAAGGAGACCAACTGTGATATCACAGCGAGACAGGAAAAATCATGAAACCAAAACCAACAGTGATAGCTGGCAGGAATAATAAAATTAGGATGGACAGTTATTGGTACAATTTACGAATGATGTAGGATAACTAATAGGATAGTTATGACTGAAAGGCAATCAGTGATTGGAAAAATAGTTATGGCAATTCTCCAGAGATAGTGGGGAAAGCCTACTTTCTTAAAGTCGCTTGCGTTTCAGTCTTTTGACATATCAAGACAAACTCCACTGTTCACTTGATTGGAAGGGGAGTGTGAGATCAGCAAAGCACTCCCCTGCATGTGTCTGTGAGGCTTTCCAGAGATGAGCAGATCATGAGGGTTCTGACCTAATCAATGGTTTAATCCAAGGATAGAGTGGAAATCTGAGTAAAGCATCGGGAGGTTGTGGACCTGTGGAAGATGGGCCCTGGTTGGAGGAAGTGGGTCACCGGGAGTGGCTTTGAAGGGTAGATGGTGGCCCTGTCCCATCCCATTACTCCTCTCTGCTTCCAGGCCTCTAGGTGGGCAGCAGCTTTCCTCTGCCATGACGTTTTTGACTTACCACACCTTACAGCAATGAAGTCAGCCAGCCATGGATGAAAACTCCCAAACTGTGAGCCCAAGTCGACCTTTCTTCTCTTACATTCATTATGTCAGGTGTTCTGTGACAGTGACAAAAGTCTGACAGGGAGTGATAGAAAGTGGTGGGGAGGAAAAATCTGAAGCCATATGGAGAAAAGTCAAAGTCGAAAGGAAGGAAGGAAAGAAAGAAGGAAGGAAGGTTGTATCTCAACATCTGTAACAGTTATATTGAACTCAGAATTTTTATTAAACCAGATTATCACTCGAATATCAAAATATATTTCAAAAATTTGTATAAAAGACTTATTTGGATGAATTTGTTGGAGGAAGTAATCAAACATGAAGACAAACTCAAGGGATGTGAGATACAGCAGCAAAAGCATTTAAAAGGCTAGGAATATTCACATTTATAAAAACTATGAACAACCCAAATATCCAGGAACTGGTGAACAGCTGTATGAACTGTGAGAAATCCACAGTGAAGTGCTACTCAGCAAGCTTTCTTTATTCCCTTCTCCCTCCCTCTCTCCCTCCTTTGCTTCCTGTCTTTCTTCGCAGTACTGGGGATCGAACCCAGAGCCTCATGCATGCTGGGCAAACATTCCACCACTGAGCCACAACCCCAGCCCTGGGAATAACTTCTTATGTAAGCAATGACATAGACGGATCTCAAAACCATGTTAAGTACAGGAAGCCAGAGATAACCAACTGTTCTGTGATTCCACTGAGGTGACATTGTACAAAGACAAAGGTAGAAAATAGATCAGTGCTTGTCAGGTTCTGGGGATGAGGGAGCCTGAAGGAACTTTTATAAATTTAATTTTGATTTTATTAGTGTCTTACTATTGTTGTACTGGGGGTACAGTGTGACAGCTACAAAAATGCTTAAATATATCTGAAATTCACCCCTTCACCATTCTCCTTTATCTTCCCTCCTCCCATTCCTAGAATAGCTTCAACAGGTCTCATTTTTCCATTTTAATACATGAGTGCATAATATTCCATCATGTCACCCTCCTCATGGAAACTCTTGGAGTGACAGAGTGACTACTCCATCATCTGACTGTGGTGCTGGCTAACTAATGCTGTCTGTCAAAATTTATAGAACTGTATACCGTAAAGGGTGAATTTTATTGTATGCAAACTATATTTTTTTAAACCTGACTTTTTAAACTCTAAAAAATTGTCTAGAAACGAAGAAGAGTACCTTTATAACAACCCATAACTACCATTCTAGACAGTGCCAAGACTGTGAGGTGCGTGGGGCTCGGAGAGCGACCTGAAGAAGTGCTGCTTGAACGGTGTCACACAAACTATTTGTCAACGAGATAAAGGGCTTGTCCCAGCATGCAAGCCAGCTGTGTCCTCAGCAAACTGGGTTCAGCTGACATTTTCTTAGCAGCACGCTTTTGCTGAAGGAAGTGTGGATTGACTTGTGTTCACGGGCAAGCCCCTTGTGTCACCCTGAAAAGTCACATTGAATAGCAACTTCCATGGGTTAGACAGGGAAGATTCAGACAGAACCATTCCTAAACCTGAGTTGTTCGATATTTATAACCTGAATACATTTCCACCCAACAGAGTTCAAGAACATTGAAATGTAAAAACAAAACTGAAGCTTGGGAGGAAGATGAAATCAGGGATAATTTTTGTGAATCTATGAATTGAAGTCTCCAGGGCAGTTACCATAAAGAAAGAATAGAATAGAAACCTTTTAAAGTGGCAGAAGAAAATCCTGTCCAATGAAAGCCAAGAAGGGAGGAGAAAAGGAATAAAAAGAAAGTGTAATAACAAGAATTTTTTTAGTTATATGCAAAGTATTTATTTTTAGGCACATATTCATCTACAAAATTTACAGAAAATGAGACAAAGCAGAATATATAGGATACCCTCTTAAGACTTCTTAGGAGAAGAGGGTTTTATTGCTTCAGTTCAAAGAATAAAACTATCCATGTGAAAGCTAAGATGAACAAATGTAAGTTAAATGGCAGCCTTGTTAAAAAGTTTCTGTCCTATTATTGAAATTTCAGCTTTATGATAGATCAAATGTGAAAGGTTGATCATGAAATAATTTGAACCTCCAGTACTTTGAAATATTTATGGCAACCCCAGCAGTTTAATTTTAAGGGCTATGATTATGCATGCACAGAATGTCGTTCGCACTCTCAGCAATGAGACTTGCAGACTTTAGTTTGTGGCACGGCTCCCATGTCACCCAGTGATGGAGTGAGACGGTCAGCCCCAGCAGGTCAGTAAGAGCACGTCTACTGCAGCGGAAAACCCAATTACCTAAACCAATGAGTGTCAAATTCCCAGACAGTACACAATTTAACCTTGTACATTCAGAAGACTTTGGGGTGTTCTTAAAATTCTTAAAAAAATATAAAGTATATTTAGCGTTAAGTGAAAATAGTGAAATAAATACAGCCACAATAGTTGCTGGAGTTTAGTATCTGGTTTAACAGAACATTTTCTCAAAACATCTGTAATTTCTTACAACAGAATGGAGATGAGTTTCCTTGGTGTAAGCAGAATGGATGTTTTTCATCGTCACAAGACATGACGGACTCTGCTGACACCATTCCACACGGAGCAGCTCTAATTGATGGTGCAATTACACTCTGTGTCTCCAGCAAAGAGCAAGCCTGTTAGAGTGACACAGCTAAAGTGAAAGCTGGGTGACTGCATAATGATGTGAAGAAGGAGCCTTTTGGGTCTCAGGATCTATCAACCAGTTCCAGGCACAGTCACCATACAGACAGATACGCTAGAAGAAGCATCCTCCAGATCCTAATAACGTGAAACATGACAGTACACATAAAACTGCTACCAATAACTTACCTTTCCAGAGCCCTTAGTGTGTTCCAAGTGCTTTTCTGAGTGTTTCTTTCTTAGTCCTCACAATAACCCCAGGAAGTGGGCACTGCGAGATTGTCCATTTTACAGGTGAGAAAACAGGTTCAGTAACTTCCTAGAAAGTGGTAGAATCACGACTGGAGCTCAGGCAATCTGATCCAGAGCCCACACTTGGACCACTGTTGCCATGTTGCCTCCCAAATAAAGCATCACATACAACACATGTAAGTGGCTTAAGCTCACCAAATCAAAAGCAGCCTTCAGTAGAATGAAAATGGGAAACACAATGCATTTTCACCACTCAGAGACACAGATAGGACTGCTCAGGGTCTTTACTCCCCAGTGCTGGCCTTTACACCTGGGCTCGGGTACCCTGGGTGCAGACGGGAGTTTCAGCTGAGTTTCTGCATGTTGTGCATTCCTGTCCTTTGGGACCAGCACCCAAGAAAGGCCAGACTTCCCACCACCCATCATCCATCTTTCCCCAAGCTTCTCCCTGTCCTCACCAGCTCCTGGGATCCAGTTCCCAGCATGACACATTGTGGATGACATCCTGATACGGACTCTGATAAAGTATCAGAGTAAAGTATCTTCCAGGAAGAAGAAAAGGCTTGCCTTAGAGAGTCAATCACTAGAAGCTCCAGTGAGCCAGGAACACTGATAGGTGCCTTCCCCATCACCTTGCTTTTCTGCCAGCCAGGAAGACATCCCTCAGACTGGAAGCAAAGAATGAGAGGAAGGATGCAAGGGCTGTTGGGATTGAACTCTGATCCAAGAATGGCACAAGATGTATGAGACAGGTAAGGGGCACCAGGGCCCCTTGTGCCATTTGTGTAAGGGACAGATAAGGACATAGGGGGAAGGAAGCCAAGCAAGATATATGTCCAGCTGTTGTGGTAATTTCAGGATGAGGACACTGGGAATTTCAGAAAGTCTTCTCTTGAGGTGGTTCTTGATAGGTAGCCCAGCCTGATCTTAAATTGGCTATTTAGCCCAGGCTGATCTTGACCTTGGACTGGCTACTTAGCCCAGGATGACCTTGACTTTGGACTGGCTATTTAGTTCAGGCTGATCTTGGACTGGTGATCCTTCTGCCTCCACCTCCTGAGTGCTGCCATTTCAGGCATGTACCCCAGCTCCCAGCTTGGTCCATCTTTTCTCCTTGAAATCTTTGGACCAGAAATCTAGTCTCTGGACCTTTGGTTATTTTTAGCCTAAATAAAGATTGACTGAGCACCTGCTCTCTACCAGACTAGGACCAACTAAAGGGCACAAACACCCAGAAGGAGAATTTGCCACCCTCTAGGAGGTTGTGCTCAGTTGGGGGTTGATGATAACACTGATGAAGGCTCTTTGCCCAGCGCCATGGTT